GGCTAGAGCTATGGTTCTCCATGCTTCTAATTGGGTCCATCAAGCCTCACTTACCCTCCATGGGTTGGACTCGGGCCATACCCTTAAAAGTGGCAATAGTTTAGCACTAAGTGACTGTGCCAAGTTGTATAATGAGAGTGAGTATAGGCTCTCGTTTCTCCTCTCCGGTGAAGGCTACAACATTAACGACACTCGCACTTGGTTAAGCGCCGTGCTCACCAACCATAGGACTTGTTTGGATGGATTGAATGAGAAAGGGTTTGTTAAAGCTAATAATGCAGTTTCCCATAACTTAACAGTGTTTCTTAGTGAAGCTCTGGCTCTGTATAGGAAGGGTAAGGGTACAAAGCAAGGTAAGGATGTAAATCAAGCATCATTTTATTTAAATTATGACAAATTTCTGCAAAATTAATCACCTATATTCTAACTTTGCCTGTTAGGGATACCAAAACGGTGGGATTTTGGTGTCATGGAGCCCGGCAACATCTAGGGCAGATTTTCTGGTTGCGAAAGATGGTTCCGGCACCCACAGAACAATAAATGAGGCAGTGGCTGCAGCTGCAAGAATGGACAACAGCCACCTCGGAAGAGTAATCATCTACGTGAAGGCAGGGGTTTACAATGAGAACGTGGAAATTGAAAGGAATGCGAATAACATAATGATGGTCGGTGATGGCATGAACAGAACAATCGTCACGGGTAACCAGAATGTCCCTGGTGGCACCCTACAGCTCCGCAACATTTGGTAAGAACATCAAAATCAAAACATTATGTAGTTCTTAGTTATGTCAGAGGACTAATTGGTCGGCTCAATTGAATTTTGATTGCATAATTAGGAGTTTCCGGTGATGGTTTCTGGGCGAGGGACATGACGTTCGAGAACACTGCCGGTCCGGAGAAACGACAGGCGGTGGCACTGAGGGTGAACTCTGACCGCTCTATCTTTTACCGGTGCAGCTTCAGGGGTTATCAGGACACCCTGTTCGTCCACTCGCTCAGGCAATTCTACCGTGACTGCCAAATCTACGGCACCATCGATTTCATATTCGGCAACGCGCCGGCCGTCTTCCAGAACTGCGATATTTTCGTCAGGAAACCCATGAGCCTCCAGGCCAACATAATAACCGCACAGGGCAGGGAAAATCCCAACGAAAACACTGGGATTTCGATCCAGGGATCACGGGTCAGGCCCGCACCCGATCTAGTCCCTGTAAAAGATTCGTTCAAAACTTATTTAGGCAGCCCCTGGAAAGAAAACTGCAGTACGGTGTTCATGAAAACGGACCTGGGCGGGTTGATAGATCCGAACGGATGGGTTGAGTGAAGCGGAGGTTTTGCGCTGTCGACCCTGTTTTACGCAGAGTATATGAACACCGGTGGAGGAGCCTCGACGGCAAACAGACTGAAATGGCCGGGTTTCCATGTGTTGAAGAGTCGCAAGCAAGCTAGCCCCTTTGAGCTCAGCAATTTCATTCAAGGGGAGTCCTGGATTCCGGAGAGCGGTGTGCCATTCTCTCTTGAAATTTAATGGCAGTTTACTCAATTTTCAAGCTTGTGTTCTACGTAAGATCCTATCTTGTCTTGTACTAATGAACTAATAGTGAAATCAGAAAAGGGATGGACAGGTCACAGCAGGTTGGAGTGACCGTAAAACAGCATTTTCTAATGAAATTGCTGGCTGATAAAATAAAATCTCTGCAAAGTTATTTTTCTCTAAATTTTATTTATATTTTTTATAAGATTGTTTAAATATTTTTACATATTAACATTATAATAAGATATTAGTGTGTATGAATTTTTATTTTTTTTAAAAAATTAGAATATCAATTTATTTTTAAAAATTAAAATTTAAAAATTTATGTTATTAAATATTAATACATAAATTTAGAAACTAATTATATATTTTAATATAATTTATTTTTAAATTTAAATATTAACATTTAATAAAATGAATTTTTAAATTTTAAATTGAATATTAATTAAATAAAATGATAAAGTTGGGATTTTAATTTATTTTAAAAATTAAAACTATCACACACTTTTTTCTTATCATAAAATAAGAGTAAAAATAATATTTTAATTGTAATTTTTGTATAATTTTTATTGCATAAACTTTTATTTTTACATTTTTTGAAAGAAAAAAGAGTTCTCTTAACTTTCTTTAGATAGAATTTAATTAATAATTTTCTAATAAACTTTTCTATATACATTTTTTTTTACCAAATATAAAAATTAATAATTTAATAAAATTATTAAATTTTTATACAATACCTTTTAATTACTTTTTACATAATTTTTAAAAATTAAATTGGAAAGGCACTTAAATAGTTAAATTTGATGACGGAAGTGGCGGGCCGAAGCGGCGGGCCGAAGCGGCAGCCTGCGCCAGTTTGTTCGGTACTTTCCAAATGAAATAATTTTGAATTTTACCGGTCAAGGACAAAAGAGTAAAAGCCTATCCATTAACACTGTTCTGCAATTTTTTCAAAGAATATATATACATAGGCCGTCTGCGTCTCACTACCGTAGCCATGGCATTATCTTGTTAGATTTTCTCACTCGAACGCTTCATTTTCCATTTTCTCTCGAGTACAGTCTACGTTCTTCGTTTCGCAACCGTCGCCTATACGTTATCGGAACATTGGAGAAGAAGAAAACGAGCATAAAAAGGTGAAAAATCCGATCGTCTTCTGTCTGTCGCATATCACGCGATCTGCAATCAGGTCGGCTGATTTTCTTCAAATTTGTTATCTGAAATTCTGCGAATTAACTGCTTCTTGTCACTGATGATATCTATATCTCTTTCTGTTTGTAGAGCATATCGAGAGAGATTGGATCGAACTTAAGGTTCAATGGCAGATATGGCGGAGAATACTCTCTCCTGTGCTCGATGCGGCAAACCGGCGCATCTCCAGTATGTAATTGATCGCTCATCTCTTTGCACAGATATTCAGTGAAAGAATCTGTAATAGCTATGCATTTAGATATTGTTATTTGTTCTTATTTACTCACACGGTGAAAGTTCAGGTCAAGGATTTTTATTTATTTATTTATTTTTTTCAATTTTGACTTGTTTGGAGCATTAAAATTTTGAGTGAAGAGAATTATATGCTCGAAGTTTTACCTTGAGAAAACTGTATGCTAGGCTTCAGGTATGGATTTCTTGGCCAGAATCAATTTGCATGATGATAAAAGATTTTAGGATGTTTAACTAAGAGATGAGTGGATTGCCTTAGATTAGCTAGTAAGGATCAGAAAGAAGTTCTATATGGTACGCAGAGTAGGTTGTCATGGTATGCTATGTGCTTGTCTAGTTTCTTTGATGGTTCGGTGCTTCAAATATCCTAATAGAAGAAGCATTACTGGTTTTAGTATTCTATCAACTCTCATGGAAGAGCAGTCTTACCAGATTATTTTGAGTTCTTGCTTGTTAAAACCAATAATATTGCATATTAATTTCTAAATCTGATCAAACTTGTTTTCAGATGTCCAAAGTGCATTGAACTAAAGCTTCCTCGTGAAGGTGCTGCTTTCTGGTTTGTAACCATCGTGTGCTCTTTAGAAATTGCATTTTCACAGCCTTTTTTTACATTCTGCAGAAGATGGAAATAAAGATAATGTGATAAGTGATTGATTAATTGATTTAATCTCTATATTACACTTGCAAATCATCTATTGATGCTTTGTGGAATGCAAACTGAAAAGGCTAGATGGTTCCTAACTTTGTATGAATGACCTTTCAAATTGGTTGGAAATTTTTTTGTTTAGCTTATTTTATGTTTATATGGCTCAT